AGCGCACACTTGTTACCCTGAACAAAGTATGATCATGGCCTAACGACTTCGACGATCCATTTGCTACACTGACCAGAACAAAAAAAAACCCTTACAAAAGGTTAAATGGAGGAATATAGGAGTAGGGGGAAGGACTATGCTATGCTCCTCAGTGTAGTCAGGTCAGTTTTGAATGAAAGTTAATTGCTCAATTACCTCAAACTACACGGCAACCAAGGCCATAATTTAATATATCTCACTAATCTCAGTTCACAAGTTAGGCTAAATCAAATTAACAGAAGCTAATTAAAATCCAGAAGCTGCGTACAGCAAAAACTAGGGTTCCGACAGAAAAGGAAACGAAAGCTAACCTCCTTGAACCTGTGAAACTGCTCCTCCGCGGAACCCTGCTGAGGGACCCGGAGAACCTTGGCGAAGTAGTGCAAGTAAACGACGAGAGCGGTGCCGTGCGCGGCGGCGGCGAGGGAACCGACGAGCATGAGAAACCAGTCGAGGCGGTCGGAGCAGGCGAAGAGGCGGGAGAAAGGCACGGCGGCGGGCGGCGGCTCAATCTCGTCGGCCTCCTCCATCTCCTCCTCGACCTCCATCGGCTGCGAGGCGGAGGTCTCGGCGCCGAGGTCGAGGTACGGCGACGGCGACTCCGGTGGCTCCGACACCTCGGACACGGGCGTGAGTGGCTGTATGTGCGGCGGGGACCAGCCGAACAGTCCCCTGGAAACCATCATCTCCGATGAAGATTTGGAAACGGATCGCAGGCGAATTGAGAGCGCGAGCTCCTTTTTTCTTGTGTGGAGGTAAAAACGACGACGTATTGAACGCCGCGGAGGTGGTTGTGAGTTGTGAGTGGTGAGGTGGCGGCGCGTGGGTTGACTCGGTCAAAAAAGGCGTACGAATACGATACCTTAATTTCTTCCTTTTAAGTTTTCGACCCTTCTTCGATTCTTCTTCTTCTTCTTCTTAGCTTCGCTTTTTTTTTTTTTTAAAGTTGGGTTTTGTTTGGAAGGGAATAATAGTATATAATAATGATAATAGTATAGAATGAAATACAGCGAGTGTGTGCTGTGAAATTGTGATGGCATGGCATTGGCATGCATGCAGAGCTGGAAAAATGAAAGAAGGGGCGTTTTCGTAAATTCCTTGCCTATGATGGCGTTGGTAAATGTGTAAACAGCTGGATCATAAGCCTTTAAATTACGTTGAGGCCCCTCCTAGAGTAGTTGGAGTGACACGTGTTAAGTGTTCCACTGCTCTACCTATTTGAATCTTTAAAGTATACTATAACACTTCCTAACCGCGAATTTTTTACTAAAATATTATTTTTTTTAAAAAAATACTCGAATAACATCTCTACCAATTTATTTATCTAAGTATACTCTTTTACTGTTCATGCTCAGAATTTGGTTCTGAGCAGCGTTTTATATATATATATATTTTTTTTTTTTTTTACATTTTTGGATTTAGAGCATGTGTAAATTCTACATCTAGAAAAGTCCGTTCTGCATCTAGAATAGCCCGTTCTGCATCTGTTGTGTTAAAACTAGGGGTGAGTAACGGGTGAGTTTGGTCGGATTCGGGTGAAAAATGTCCAACCCGTTGTAAATCGACTTTGAAAAAATGTGACCCATATCCAACCGACTGAGCTTTCGATTTGAGGCGGTTCGAGTTAAAACGGATTCGAATTTGAGCGGGTGAGTACAATCAGGTTTGAATTTTTTTGTAGACCAATTTATCTTAACGAAAATGAAGCTTAAAACGATAACAAATATTTTTAAAATTGTGTATAAAAATAAAATGAAGGTGACAATAGATAGTGTAAGTAGATTCGTAGATGAAACATTTACAAACTAAAGAAGCAAAAATAAAAGATAACAAAATTCATAGTTGTTACATGCAAAAGAAATCTAAAGTTAGATTACAAAACCCATAAAAAATCATAGTCGCACAAGTTGTACTCAAAATTGAGATAAGAAGATGGAAAAGAAAAACAAAGAAAGAAGCAAAAAGATAACTCTAAAAATTGACTAGTGTGTTGAGAAGTTGAATGAGGAAGGAGAATACAAAATAAATATCTAAGTTATGAGAAAAAGGAAAAAAATAAGTTACAAATTGATGACTATATTATACTTGAAATAAAGACTTTTAAGTTTGGACCATTGTTGTTTAGTTATATAAAAGTAATAAAAATTTAAACTTATCTCATTTTCGGTTGGGTTCGATTTTTAGCGGGTTTAAAAATTCAAAACCGAACTCGCCCAATATAATACGTATAAAATCAAAATTTTAACTCGATTTACCCATAAGACCCGCCCGAACCCACTCAAAAACAATATTTTTTATCGAACTTATCGGGTCTCGGTTTAATGCTCACCCCTAATTAAAACAGAACTCTAGAACCGTCTGAGCCCGAACAGTAAAAGGGTCTACTTGGATAAATAAATTGGTACAGGTATTATTTAGGTATTTTTTATAAAAAAATAATAATATTTCAGTCAAAAATTCTCCTAACCGCTACTTTTTTCAGCATTAATATCGTAACTATTTTTTTTACATTTAGGAAAATATTCCTTAGGCAACAGGTAACCGTTTGCACTATCATGAATCTATGGTAACGTAATTATCACTAATTTGATCTATAAAATGAATTAAAAAGTGGAGAGCCTTTATTTGTGTTTAGTCCGAGTGAAGTTGAGGCATGATTGAAGGAGAGTGACTTTAATAATCGTGCCAGTGCATTTCATCTCTGCCTTTCTTCTTTATCAACACCAAAAACATCTTGTTTCTAAAAGGAAAAATATCAATATACACTCCCTAAGCAATTTAATTGTATGTATGAATATGAATGTAATTACTGTTTCTATCATAATCAACTCATATGGTTAAGTACATGTATAAATATAATAGTTCTCTTGCTTTGTATCTATGGTTAATTTCAGGGTCAGTTTAGTGGAACATGATGCCACAATCACATTCACCTTTTTTTCATTTTTGATAACAATCTCCGACTTATTTTTATGTGATGAGTTGATGATGAACTTTGCATGTGAAAAGTGGGAACTATATAGAGAGAGAGGACTGCTGAGTTGTTAAATTATTGAATGAGGAAAGAATTAATATTTAGGGTAATGAGCATTGGAATTTGGAGGGTCCCTATAGGTGTAGCCATGGCATTGAATTAATTAACTCATACCATTAAAGTACTTTAAGCTTTTCGGTTCTCCGTCCTTATTAATTACAGTAATTATTTTAATTACAGTAATCAACTTTTCAGCCAATCAAACGCCACGCGCAAATGAAGAAAGAATAAGTTAGGCATTAACCTAGCAGTAAAAAATATATACTTTTATAAGATTCATGCACAGTAAAGTTTTACGTTATTAAGACCGTATTTATTGTTTAAAGTAGTTAGTGTAAAAATTAACAAATTATATAGATATACATGGTTTCTGATCGGATGTATTGTATGATATTTTTTCTCTAGAAAATTTATACATGAATGAAATATATTTTTAATATATCAAAAGATCACAATTTTCATTTTATTTTCCATATATTTTTATTCATGATTTTAATAATTATATATTAAATAAAATGATATAGTTTTAATTCTTTCACCAAAGACTAAAAAAATATATAATGAAAACAAATAAGCTACATCGTATCTTTGTAGTGAGAGATCTCGTCTAAATATTAAAATTTAACGATTTACGGATGTTATATTAATAATAAATATAAATTTCATATTTTTAAAATTAAAGAGATTAAGTATTTCTATTTTAAAATAAGGGATCAGAATTACATGTTAAAAAGTTGAGAAAAAAAAACAATTTAACCTTAAAATTATTCATTAAGTATAAAAGTTGAAATTGAGCATTTTGACCAAAAATTTTATTAAAAAAATGTGTTCTCATGAAGAAAATATATTTAAAATTATACTACTAGAGTATTATTCTTTATACATATCCTCATTGTCGAGAGGGGGTAAAATAAGAGTATATATATTTGATCAATCACTAAAGTGGTTTAGAATTCAATGTGAAAATATCATAAACGTGTAACTATTTAAATTTTTTATATGTAATTATATTTTTCAATTTCCGGTTTATTAAATACCCAGTTTTAAATCTCATAAATATAATACTTATTACATTAAATATATACCTATTTTTAAATACCATATCTATCACATTAAATACCCAATTTTTTAAAATCTCATTTTAATATGTTGAATATCATGTTTAAAATCATTCAAACATCTAATGAGACTCAAATGCATTGTTGAAATAAGATCTATTAAAAAAAAACTACATATATATTTGAAAACGTGAGAGATATAAATCTATGCAAAAACAACAGGACACAAAACCCACACATTTTTATAGGCAATTTTAAACTCTTGCACTTAAAAGGATAAATCTAAGTTCATCACAAATACATGACCAGAAACTTTGTTTTTTATTCATACATAACGGAAACTTAAAAACCAAAATGCCATACATTAATTCAAAACTGAAGACATCAAAACGTAAAAACGAAAACCCTAAGTTTCTAACTGATTGTTGAGAAAAACATTTGTCAGAACCATCTTGGATTGCAGAGAAGCCTTGAGGAAATTGACACCTTGTCAAGAAAAAACAAAAAGGCATTATGGATTAAAAAATAATAATAACATTTAACAGTGCAATAACTAGGAAATGAAAATGCAAAAGAGAAAATTCACATTTGTGACAAACTCTTACATATACTGAAGTTTAAAAGTTGACAGTTACGCTAATTAATTAATGACCATGCATGGAGAACCCAAAAAGCCTATTTGCGATAAAGTAAGCCTCGATCAATGCGTACCCCTCCAAATTCCAACCTTACCATAAATATATATGAATTTACTAGTACAATAGTTCAACATAGCCTCTTATGGAATATATATATATATGTATATAGTTTTCGATCCTTCACATTTTAATTAATCAAGTTTGATACATATATACATTGGTGCTCTAACCATGGCTTCCTCTTCCACCAAACTGAGCGTGAAGTTACTCATCGACTCGAAGCGTCAGAAAGTCTTGTTCGCCGAAGCATCAAAAGAGGTCACAGATTTCCTCTTTAATTTGCTTCGCTTGCCTCTGAGCACAGTCATAAGGCTTTTAAGCAAGGATGGCATGGTTGGATGCCTAGGCAATCTCTATCAAAGTGTTGAAAATCTGAGTGACACTTACATGCAACCAAATCAATGCAAGGATGTGCTCCTGAAGACACGAGCCCCCGTAATCTCAGCCCTTCTTCCCTCGAAAAATGATTGTGACGATGACAACTTAGAAACTTCATTCTACACTTGCCCAAACAATGGTAATTATAATAACTGTGGTTATAATGTTACATGCGATAACCAGACTCGTTGTCCTCGGTGTAATTGTGCTATGAGCAAGGTAATAAGTTATGTTGGTAACAAGGTTGCTGAAGATGTATTTCGTAAGAGTGGCTATGTGAAAGAAGTTGTTACTTATATGGTCATGGATGATTTAGTCATCCAACCCATGTCTACCATTTCAAGTATCACTTTACTCAATAAGTTCAATATCAAAGAGGTTGGTGCCCTGGAAGAAAAGGTGGTTGAGTTGGGGATAACTCAGGTATTGTTATGGTTAAATATTAATGGTGTCTTACTTGTACGCATTTCTGTGTTTGAGAACTTTTATTTTTGCATGCTGCTTGGTGCTTTTTTGTATATCGATAGTTAATATGCCTCCTTGCTGCATTTTCAGGGAGTCAATATTCTCAAGGCTTCACTCCAATCCAAGATGGTGCTGACAAGTGTTTTTCTGAAGAACATTACGGGATCCTAGATATCAGTAATATGGTGTTTTGAAAGCTTAGGTTTTTTTTTGCTGAATGAAAAGCTTAGGGTGCTTTTTGGCTGATTGAAAAGCTTAGGACTATGTTATTATCTTCTTTGTGTTCTTTTGTTTTTGAGTCAATGTTATGTACTTGTTCTGTTGCCATGGATGAACAAGCTGCTAATTTATTTCAAGTAATTTATTATTTTGAGTTCTGAGTGGATTTAAAGTGAGCCTTATTATCCAGTGTTATGTTATATTGAAACAATTTGTTCATATGTATTATTTTGATGTGGTACTGTATTTTTAATATTGTTTTTACTTTTTAGAACTATTTTTTAATTAATAACCAACTCTTGTATAAAGAATAGTCAACTAATTAAGAGCTAAATCTTTTGCTACTCCCCTCTGGTTAGGGGTTTAGTATCGTTATATTTAACCATTATTTAAATTATTTAACTCTCGTCTGATAAAAAAAATCATTTAATTCAAATATAATTTTTGCAATGAATTTTTATTTTGTCTGTCATTGTTGAAATTAACTATGTTAATTATTTTAAATGGTCTTGGGGAATTAATCATTTGTTTGTTGTATAAACCCCTAGAAGGTGAAGGAGTAACTAAATTAAATATTATATCTTAAATGCTTTTTACGAAATTTAAAATCAAAATCAAAATAATACGTAAAAAACTATAGAATAAAATTTGATGGTTAAATATATGACTTGTATAAACTTATTTTCATTATAAATAAAAAAAAAGTCTATGCAAAATACTCGAATGGCAAAAAGACTTATTCTTTATAAAAAACTTGCAACTTCTCATTCGTCTTTATGTAAACAATAACATATAAGTTAGAACATGATAACTTAAACACGGATTAATTAATAAACAAAAAATATAAATATATAGTATTGGCTTAATTATATTTTTGATCCCTCAAGTATTGAAATTGTGCAATTTTGATCTCCAAAGTTTTAATTGGATAATTTTATTCTTTAAAAGATTGCAATTGTGCGATTTTAGTCCTTTAATTTTTAATTGAACAATTTTAGTCTCTCAAATATCATAATTGTACGATTTCAGCTTCTTCCATTAAAAATTTAATAATTTTAATATAAATATATATACAATATTTTAAAATTATACAATTATTTGTCTAGACAATAAATTAATATCAATAATATTGTTAGTATATTTATAAATAATAAATTATATTTATCATTAATATTATAAAAATAATAATAAATAAATTTTATTTATTTATTAATAATATATATTTATTTATTAATAATAAATATATATCATTTGCAATTGATACATTGAAGAAAATTATACAATGCGTTAATTTGAATAGACAAATAATTGTATAATTTTAAAATAATATATATAAATATATATATATTAAAATTATTAAATTTTTAATGGAAGAGACTAAAATTGCACAATTATGAAATTTAAAAGACTAAAATTGTTCAATTAAAATTTGAAGGACCGAAATCGTACAATTGCAATTTTTTAGAGACTAAAATTATCCAATTAAAACTTTAAAAATCAAAATTTCACAATTACAATACTTGAGGAATAAAAATGGAATTAAGCCTATAATATTTTATAATTTTTATGCAATTTTAACTAAAAAATAAATTATTACGTAAATAACTATGAAATATAGGTTGATATCGAAAAATGACTCGTTATTATATAAGTAAACTTATTTTAATAATATATGCTAATAATCCACATAAAATGTGTGAATGTTAAAAAGAGGAAAGGATATGATGAAATATATAGACAACCTTGTATATATATCAATTACTTTCTTATAACACGTGTAAAAAAATTAATGTCTTTCCATCACTACATATTACTAATCGATCTTACTTCTTATTTGCTCAATATTTTTTTTCTTAAGGGTTTTTAACATGCTCAAAACTTCACTCACAACAAATATGGTCTTGACAAGTATTTTTAAGGCAGAGGAAGAAAAATAATTCAGAAGTTTAAGATCTTAAAGTCAATGTCTATTTATTTTTAAATATTGTCTTTGTTATTGGCATGGGCTTCTATTGATTGAAGAAATAGGGTTTAATTATTGTTCCATTATATATATATATATTATTTTTTTAAAAATATTTATTTCCTAAATTAAAGTCAATTTAGTCTTTCGGTTTTAAATCTTATTTGACTAATTCAAAATTTGAAACTTATATATATATATTATTTTTAAATTTATTTTAGTTTTTTATTTTTTTTTAAAATATTTATTTTGATATTTTATTTCCTAAATTCAAGTCAATTTAGTCTTTCGGTTTTAAATCTTATTTGACTAATTTAAAATTTGAAACTTATTACATAAGATTCACTTATATAAAAATTATTAATTACAGTTAAAGTTCAAATCAAATATGTTATAAGCCTGATGAAATTGAATTTTTCAAAAACAAAATATTTCATATTATTTACAACTTTATAAGATTCAATTTTACATGATTTTCACTATATTTTTTATCCTTAATTTAAACGTCAATTATATTTTATAATTTTCATATAAGTAAATTTAATATTACAAATTTTTTACATTTTAAATCATTTAAAAATTAATTCAAAAGCATATCATAAAATTAAAAATAATCATTACTTTAAAAGAATCAGGTTGATTCAAATATAAAAGACAAAAAATCATATTCATAAAATGCGATTCAATTTCAAGATGTCGTGGAATGTTAGAAGTGCAAACCTAATAACTTACCCTTTTTAAAATCTATTTTTTTTTCTATTATCTTTGTTATCTATATGGTGTATATATAGTTTTGGTTATACACATAATTAAATTAATAGGAATATGTTTGTGATGAAAAACACTCATCTTCACTCAATAAGATTATTTACATATCTAAAGATCTTAAATAAAATACACACAAATTTTATTTATCGACTCTTTATATATAGAACAAAACTGTATTACAAATTTTGAATCATATAATCTTCTTAATTAAAGAAATAAGAAACAAATATCTAAAAGATATTAAAAAAAATAACTATCTATAAATCTAAATAATATTATAAAAATTACAAATTCTTAAAATAATTTCTTAAATTTTCATTCACTCAATTTATTTAAAATTTGAATTATTTTTTCAACAATTTGGATACATGATATGAACTTTTTTAGAATTCCTCTATTAAAAATAAGAGTAATTTCAAATAAAAAAAAAGTTCTAAAAACAACATTTTTTAACTTTTATCAAATAAGCTATAAATCTGGTACATATATATTTCATTCTGTGTTTGTTTAACATTGTTATATTTATCTTGTAAAAAAAAAAATATGGTCATATTTATGACATTAAATTTGAATACATTTCAAATAAGATATTATTTGTTATTGATACAATTTTAGATTTTATATTTTGTTTTTATAAGTAATAATTAACATAATTTCAACAAAATAAGTGTTAATGAGTGAGATTTATTAGGAATTTTAAATTGATTATAAGTCTATATATTGATATGTTTTATGAATTTCTATGACAATTTTTCATCTTGGGATTCTGTAAGGTTGAATTTTTCTATAATTTTCAGAAAATATTTCCAACAAACATGGCTTCTTGTTCCGCCAATCTGACGATGAAATTACTGATAGACTCAAAGAGTGAGAGAGTCCTGTTCGGTGAAGCATCAAAAGAGGTAATAGATTTCCTCTTTAGTTTGCTTTGCTTGCCTCTGAGTACCATCACAAGGCTTTTAAACAAGAATGACATGCTTGGAAGCATAGGCAATCTCTATCAAAGTGTTGAAAATCTGAGCGACACTTACATGCAACCAAATGATGAAAGTGTTGATCAAAAAGAAAATTCATGCCAAAGGCACTGTAGTTATAATGTGACATGTGATAATAAGACTTATTGTCCTAACTGTTTGAGTACTATGAGCCATGAAATATCTTATGTTGGAAACAAGGTTGGTGGAGATGTATTTCCCAATAATGATAAAAATGGGTATGTGAAGGAAGTTGTTACTTATATGATCATGAATGATTTAGTCATTCAACCTATGTCAACCATATCATGTATTGCCTTACTCAACAAGTTCAGTATCAAAGAGGTTTGTGACTTGGAAGAGAAAGTGGTTGAGTTGGGGATGGATCAGGTATATATATGTTATGCTTATAAATAATTTAACATGTTTCACTTCCCTTTTTTTTGTGTATTGATAAACATGTTTTCAGGGCATCAATATTCTCAAGGCTTCTCTACAATCCAAGATGGTGCTCACAAGTGCTTTTCTGAAGAACAGTACGGGATCCTAGATATTTAAAATGTTTTAGTTTTCTGATCATTAAAATAGTGTCTTAAAAGCTTAGGTCTATGTTATTATCTGCTTTGTTTTCTTTTATGTTTTGAATCAACGTTATTATTCTTGTTCTGTTGCCATATATACATGAACATGCTGCTCATTTATTTTAAGTAATTTATTATTTTGAGTTCTTAAGTGCATTTAAAATGAGCCTTATTATCCGATATCATAGAACCTTACCATGAAGATTGCTCTAGTCCTAGTGAGCTTCTCCTAAACTTTTAGTAGCAAAACAAATTCTAATGGTACTGTATATTTTTCACTGTTTCATTACTTTAGTATTACGTATTTTTCAATTAATAACAAACTGTTATATAAAGAATATATTGTCAACTAATTAAGCGCTTAACTTTTTTGTTACTTCCTCTGATTGTTTTCATGACGAGGAAAAGGTTGTTTCATGAATTAGGTTTAGTATGGCTAAGTTTAATCAATATTAAATCATTAAATTCAAATATTTTTTTAATAAAAAATAATTTTATAATATTAGTAATAAAATTAACTATCTTAATTTTTTTTTGGTACTTATTAATTAATTGTTTGTTTTTTGTATAGAAAAACAGAGGGATTAACAAAAAAAATTAAATATTGTTAAAAATAATATATTTAATTACTTTTTTCTCCATGATTTGTGTTAAATTACTTATAATTATAATAAAAGATAGTATCTGATATTTTTTTTTACGTGATTTTAAATATAAGCAAAAATATCGTGTAAATAATTTGATTTTGAAGTATGACTAAAGTTGGAACGTGATTACTTAAATTGGGATTGTTTTTCTTTTTTGAAAGGCAAATTGGGATTAATTAATAAACAAAGAAGATAAATATCGTATTTTATAATTTACACGCAATTTTAACTAAAAAAATAAATTATTTCGTAAATAACTAATGAAATAAAGGTTGATATTAAAAATTTTCAAGTTATTATGTAAGTAAAACTAATTTTTAATAATAATAATAATAATCAACGCAAAATATTTGATAATGACATGCGCAAACATAACAACTTACCTTTGTTTAATGCTTAATGTTTAATTTTAAAACTGGTTAATAGGTTTTTATCGATCTAATATAATTTTTCTTTTCCTTAACCTTGGGTAGTGAACATTCACAAGTCCCATCAAATTTGCATTTAGAAACAGATAAACAAGTGAACAAATGTTATTTATTTAATTTAACAATAACTTACAATATTACAATAAACATGAGTTGCATTCGCAATGCAGATGAAGCATATGATAAGTTTATTGATCAAAGCATGAGCCTGGACCGACAGGAGCAGTTCTAGCATTAAAATTTGTGACAGGAGCAGCTGGAACCCCTCGTCTATTCAAGAGACATCTGAAGTATTGCAACCGGGCCAATGCAATTTTGTTAGCATTTCCTGAAGTAGAATCTCTCTGACTCCACAAGCGTTCTGTGTCAAACAACTAATACTTAATTTTACATGATCAAATGAAGAGGCACCCTAACATAAGTTAAAAAGATTGACATGCTTTTAAGCATACATACTCATATCATATTTTAAATCCTCAAGTAATGGTGCATCAAACATGCAATAGAACCCTTCACATGGCTTGCATTCTTTTTCTTCAATTTTGGGTGAAAGAGAAAGAGGGAAACTTTTGTTTCTCTTTCTATTTTATTTAAGTCTTTAATATGTTTTTAATCCCTTAAATTTAAAGTAAATTTGTGTTTAGTTTTTGAAATTTAAAATTGATTTTTTTCATCTTATAATTTCATAAAAATCTTATTTTAATCCCTTAGACTATCAATAGCTTAACTAATAGTGACTGATTATGATAATATATGATTTTAACCAAGTTTAATGTGATGTTTTTATCACCAAGAACATTAGTAAGTAGATTTTGTATAACAATATTTGACAAAAAATTCACTAACAATATTTAAGCAAAAGGATTACAATAAGATTTTTTCAAATTACAAGACTAAAAAAATGACCCTCAATTTTACAGTACTAATTGTACTCAAGGTATGTTGGTCAATGGTCATTCCCTATTAAGTAGAAAGCAACTGCCTGATCATACTCAGAACTACGAATTGCAGTTAGGAAAACAGATATTGCATATTTAATAGTCAAGGAATATGCTGAAGCAGTAAAACTAAGGTTATATCATACAAGAAGAATGAGGAACAACATTGCATTAAATAGAAGAATAAGGTAGCTAACCTGCTGCTGCTGCAGCTCGAGGCCATATTGTTTGCTGAACATCTGATGTATCAGCAGTCTCACCCCACATACAGACTTCTCCTCCAAGTACAAGTTTTTGTTCTGAAGCTTTTTGTATTCCTTCTAGTGGCTCAGCAGTGTATACAACATCCCAAGGTACATCTAGATGGTCAAGATACCATACACCTTGGTTACTGAAAATACACCTGAAGCCTTTTGCAACAGCCTTTGGACAAACTCCAGGGCCCAACCTACAATAATTAATTGGAATACTTTATTCTGACACTGAGATCTTTGAGTCTCATACAAAAATAAAACTTCCTAGACAGAAATTCACCAGTTATGCACCACAGTCCGTGGATGGAGCTTAGATGGAAAAGTATTGAAGGTTTCTTCCCTGAGAAGTTGCATAAAAAAGTCAAATCTAAAAAACATGTCAACAATGTAAGAGCAAGATATAGTAAATAGAACTATTGTTTCATAATTATTTTAGTGGCGCACAGTTGGAAATAATATAGAAGTTGTATTGTTTAATATGCATGAAAGTTATTGTTGGCATTTAAAATACCTGGGAGAAACCTAGATATATTAAGGGTATAAATGAGTTATGTGATGATGCTATATACACAGATTATACCAGTTTACTGGACTCCAATTTTTTGTAAGAGCTATGTTTTGAGCCTTCAGCACAAAATATTGATAGGCATCTTTGGCAGTCATGTTCTGGTTCCGAAGCCTGCATTGGAGATATAATCACATCTGAACATTGTGCTTGATGACAAGCAATCAAATTAATCTTAATGTACAAAACCAAAAAATTGAGTGGCTGAAAAAAGTAAACAAAGGGAGGACAAATTCCTCTACATGCTTCACAAACAAATAGTCCTGCAATTTTTAATTGAATCCAAAGAATGACAACTGAAGTGAGTTGGACACAGCAATGGCAATGCCTTCGAATTATTTTGTCACCCTCAGGAACGAATATAAACAACTACGTTCTAGGTTGAAGTTCACCCTTTAAGTTTCGAGTTTCCCGTAGCATGATATTCAATGCCTTTACCATCCTATGCCGCAATAAAAAAATCATCAAATAATGCAATGAACGAGTATAATAGGTTAAGATTTGTACCATTTCTTCACTTGAGTAGTATTGGTCCAGCAATCTGTCACAATAAATTGCAATTTATTATCAGTTAGCATAGATACAAGCAGTCAGTCATATGGGAACTGTTACATTTTAACAATATAGTGATAGACAAAACTTACGTACAGTATCTTATGTGCTTTTAGTTTTTTCTTTCAATCAAAATTAGAATTTTACTTAAGTACCCGATGTGATGAAAGTTGCATTAAAAAGGGTCAATACATCGATTACAAAGATAAAACTCCAGTTTAATTAGAGAACAACACCATAAGCGCCTAAAGTACTATATCTTAACTTTGTCCTATCACCTACGTAACTATTCATCTCAAGTTGTGCTAACAATAAAAAGATTCTCATGCCCTTGGTTAATAGCCTAAGCTTTTAGGTCAAGCTGCAAGCATAAAGACATGCATACTAACCTGTATTCACTTCATCACCACCCAAGTGAAATAGCTCAAATGGGAATATTTTTCTCATATCTGTAAAATTTAGAAAAGGAGAAGGAAAGAAAGTTAATTTATGACATCAGTGTGCATAATATTAGGGGAAAGATATGGGCATAACTTGGGATGGATGGTTTTGACAAACCCCATAATGCTGATAATTTTGCAAGATAGAGCAAGCGACAAGGTAATAGAGCAGAAGATGATTTAAGTTAAATATATTATGTTTTATAGGAACTTAACCTGTTAGAATACCAGAAAGAACATCAAAAGTAAACTTCTTCGAAACATCTAGTGGCTCTCTACAGGAGGATGACGGCCAAAGATCAGGATATCCAACACCCCTAAACAGAAAAGAAGAAAATATAAACCTAAATATATTTCTGGTCTATAGTATCGGTGAATAGAAAAAGTAAATTGTTTGAGCAACCACTCAAGTCCAAATTTGTAAAATAAATGGATCAACGCTTAAATAAAACTTTTCAAAAGTAGTACCTGACATCAAGGACATAATCAGACCAAACAAATATGTAAAGGGGAAAAATAATAAATTCCCAGCAGCAATAATAAAAAATTGAAAACTTAATGTCAAAGCAGAAGAATCCGATAACATAGCCACATTCAATCCATAGCTAGAAAGTTTCAGTTTTTCTACAGTAAACATTAGTATCTCTTCTAAGAAACATCTATAACTAATTGTAAAAGTAAAAGAAAATTTAAGTGTTCTTTTTTTCATGGACATATCACGTTGTGTCTCAAAATTAATAACTTCGTACTAATTTTCAAGTCATTATTTAAAGGTTTTTATGAACATAGTCCACGTAGTTTCTCTTGGAAATTTAAGGGTTTTCATGTAGCCCCATTCTAAAGTCATTATTAATATTATATATTTATAATGCTACCAGACTATCAACTTAACAAAAGAATATGACCATGACATATACTTTACCATGATGCTGCATGACCAGGGACATCCACTTCCGCCATCACATTTATTCCTGTGACAAACCATGAAGATACTCATTATCTTAACTTAATGATAATGAGAAAGATGAAAGGCATAAAAGGAACAGAGACCCCCCCAAAAAAATATCATGGCCTAAAATTCAAAATGTTCCCAATATTATGAAACAGAAACTTCAAAAGGATTTTAAGATACCTCACCTCTCATTTTGGAAAAGCTTCATATCGAGGCCAGTTAAAACATGAAAAGAGAACATAGTATTAGTCCGTGTTAGATTAAGAAAGCCAACTTCAAGCTGGTAATTGGTAACTGGAAAGTAACAATTTTAAAAAAAGGCATGAATCAATTGATCACCATTCATCATAAAATAATCTTACTTGACAATTTCATATGCATCCTCTACTGTGTAACGTTCCCACTTCGTATATGAACCTTTCCACAAATTTGGATAAGTAGGTACCTCCAGAGGAAATGACTGCTCGTCTATGATGTGCCAATGTAAAACATTCTACCATGAACAATTTTTTTAATATAAGCATTAAATGAAACAAAGTAGCACGATATGCTAGTTAGGAATTAGGATACATTTCTTTGGTTTCCAACTGTCAAAAACAGCCTAGTGGTAAAGGAAAATAAACTAATGACATTTATCTTACAAGTTTAGCGTAGGACATAGATTCAATTATCTGCTTAATTACATCAACTGGTAAATAGTGCCTTGATGTATCTGCAAAGTAAATAAAAAAAAAATCAACATAAGTATCCATAGAGACTCGGATCATAGCAGAAAAACACTTTCAGAATATCGATTTGTCTCATTTCCAAAATCTTGACTCACCCAACATAAGGCCACGGTATGGAAATCTAGGTTTATCTTGGATGGACCAAGGTGCCTTGTATATTTGTACTGTTTTAGTTGTATAATCAAAAGAACACAACTGGCTGAATGTCTGGTGCATCACAAAAGAGAAAAGGAAATTGGTCATGCACAACTCAAGGAATTTTAAGTTTCCCAATCTTTCAGAAGGTAGTCATTCCTATATCCAAAACGCATGAAACAATATAACTATAATAGTTCAGTTTTTGTTTTCAAGGAAAAAATTATATATAATAAAATTAATTTAAGTAACTTACTGCCTTATAAATGTTAGTTCATAATTTCTCAGTTCAGGATTAACAAGAACTGTATTCTTTCAAACTGCTGACATGTTGCCTAGGAGAAATGAGCAGAACAAATTACAGATTTTGCCAATCATATGGTTTGAGCTGAATTGAGTTGTAAATTCTGTACATACCTCTAATCCACGCAATGCACCAAAAACAGTATTTGCCTACAATAAATACAACACAAAAAAATTACCACTAAATTGTTTTAAAAAAAAAGAACCACATATGGCAATTTAATTGTTTCGGTCATTAACCATAAGAAGTGAAGTATAGCAGCATAAGAGTCTTTATCAATCACTTTGTTATACCCAACAAACAAAACACTTCAATCAACAAGAGTTGACTATATTCCAATTGCTAGTATGTGGCAATTTAGAATAGTTTTCAGGGAGTGGTTGACTTGTTCATATCACAGAAAATTATGGCATTAAACTAAAAAATACGCATATAAAAGGAAATTACTTCAAACTTAGGCATATACAAGTTGCCACAAATAGACATAAAATTCAAAACAAAACCGCACCTCAATTGTGACTTGTCCAGCACCAGAATGCACCTGGGGCCATGAAACGAACAAATTGTAGCTTTCATCCACTCCAAGTTGAAGCTGCAACACAAGTTCCCAATCTCAAAATCAAAACTTGATCAAAACCCAGAAAAGGGAAAGAAAAAAAAATTGAAAATTGAAAAGGGCCCACCTCCTCACTGTTGGAATGAAGAGTGATGCTCAATTTGGAAACATCATAGACGGGCCTCAGTGTTCTGAGAAAACTGAACCTATCACCATGCTTGAACAAAATCCCTTTGTATCTAGCAAAAGCATCGCGAACAATGGCGGAGGCAGCACCATTTCCAGAGAGAGAAAGTGCAGGGTCAAGAGAAAGAGAGTGATTTCCGAAGCTGAATTTTGCAGGCAGAGGCCAAATGAACGGAAGAGGCTTATGGGGCGGTGAGATTCTGGCCCCAAGAGCTTGAGAAACAAAGAATGCACAACAAAAGAGGAACAATGTGTGAACACATGATGTCGGCATCCACAACAAACCCATGGTTTTGTGATGACTTTGAGGAATGGTTGGCGTTTGAAGCGCTGAGAGGCATTAAAGAGAACGTGAATGTAAATGTCACTAAACATGGTCATTGGAGTAGTTAAGGTTAAGGTTAACAAATTTCGAGGAATCTGATGCTGTAAGAAACAACCATATTTTGCTAAGGTAAGAATCATGAAATGTACACAACAGACAAAGTTTACTTTACATAATTGCAATGGAAATATCTCTTTTGATGCATAAATTACGTATAATTGTGCTGGTTACTTCAATTGATATGTCTTGTAACGTTGCTATTACATGTGCTTTTTGTTGTCCGAAACGCTTTTGTTTATCTTCTTCCTAGCCATACCAAATAAAGTATAGTTGCTTTTACGCAAGGCAGCACATTGAAGGAAGAGGCATGAGCGAAGCATGATAATAATAAACAATGATATTATTATTATTATTATATGTGGAAGTGAATAATATCATAATCTCTTGAAATCATTTTCTAATGCTTTAAGTGGAATGGTGGAGGAAGGGTTCACGGAAAAAATGGTAAAACGCATTATTTTCACCATTTGTTTTGGTTTCTGACAAAAAGCACATGAGGCCCAAAGATCACATGTTTTTTAATCCGTTCAAAATGAACGGAAGAAAGAGAGAAACCTTGTGTAAAATTAAATCACTAATTTATCCTTAATGATATGTATATACAGTAAGTTTAGAATGAAACTAAATGATAAAAAGAGTATATTAAATGTTAAATACTTTATTTTAATTCATACTTTTAAATATTTATTCAAGTTCTAAAAAATATGTATAATGCGAGGAAAATATAGCAATTGGAGACGGTTTTATATCAAGTTGCAAGTAAGATTATTAATTGGATGTTTGACTCACTGATTCCCATGAACCGGGTCACGTTCCAATAAGCAAGTATGCAAATAGTATAAAAATCAGGCTTAACAAACATGTTATGCTCTCACAACTCACATAAAATATGTTAAATTAAAAATGCAAATATCTCTTCCTTTTGTTTGAATGTATGAAAAGGAGTAAGAAGAGAAAAATAATTAATAATGAATCCCACCAAAACCATTTCACACCAAGTGATACAAGAGAGAGAGCGTGTTAGGTTTTTGTTTTAATTATTTTATCATTATTAGATTTAATTACTTTTTTGGATTTATATAGTTTCAACAATTTTATAATCTAGTCCTTATAATTAAAATATTTTATTTCTGTTTATATATATATATATATATATATATATAATTTTTGTTTTCTTTAGTTTTTATAATTTTATAAACTTTAATTTTTTATTCTATAAAAATAAAAATAAATGACAAAGACTTAAAAAAACAAAAAATATATATAGTTTAAATGAAATACTTTTAACTATAGGAAATTAAGGGGACCTTTGGTAAGGAATTTTTTTTTTTCATACTTAGAAATCATAATTCCTGAAAAATATGATTCCTAAAAAAAACTAAAATATATTTAGTTACTCATAAAGTTTTATTGGAATATTCATATAGAATTGTTGGAATTTAAAGATTTTCATGTTTGATTATAATAATATATTTATGGGTATATAAATATTTTTTACAAAAAATCCTTCATTAAAGTAAATTTATTAGATAAATTTTTTTACTCTAATTTTATTACAAATATGATATTAAATTATTTTAAAAAGTTAAAAACTTATAATCAAAATTATTTATATACAAAATTCAACAAAGAAAAATATTATATAATAATTAAGAAGAATAAAAATATATTATCTTGTTTCATTTAAATAAATAAAAGTGTTAACAAATATCATTAATTTGTAGAAATAAAACAAATTTTAATATTAAAGTTAACTATGTCAATAAATAATGAAATATAAGAAAAAGATAGAGAGAAATAGATATGTGGAAGGGAGGGAGGAGAGAGAGAGAAGGAGAAAGGAAGGGAGGGGAGAGAGAGAGAGAGAGAGAGAGATGGAGAGAAGAATAGAGAGCGAGAGGGATAGAGGAAGAGAATGGGGTGAGAGTAGGGATGGCAATGGGGCCCATAAACCTGTCTCCGCCCCGCTGGATGAAAATTAGCACCATATCCACCTCATATCCGCACAGGTATCCATTAAGCGAGTATCCATGAATTTCTTAAATACTCACGGATATCCATGGATATTTATAATTTTTTTAAGAAATTAAAAAAATCATATTATAAATAATTTTAAGTTTATATTTAATATCATTGAAATATTAAAAATAAAAATTCATTGTTAATTTTGAACTTGTATTTAACGTTAATTTTGTTGAAATAATAATAAAAATGTAAAATAATCAATAACTTAAAATACATCAATCTCACAAGTAAGTTAAAGTCTCATCACAAAGCTACAATAATTTAATCTCATAATTTTAAACAAAATTAAACAACTTAAAATACATAAATTTTATTGGTCCAATCAAAACTAGAAAATTAATCAAATTAACATAATTCTATAACATGTTTAACACATGTTGGTAACTTCATCAACCTCACTTTTGTAAAAAAATAAGATGAGAAAGTGTAGTTCTAGGGTTATGTGGTACAAGGATAATTATAATATTTAATAAATATTATTAAATGGTACCCGCGGGTATGAATATCATCATACCTGCCCCCGCCCCATTTATAAATAGGTAAGAAATTATCCGTCTGCATTATTCGCGAGTACCTAATTAACTTATCCATTTATTATCTGTAGCGGATTTTACCCACAGATACCCGCGAGTACGAGTATTTTGTCATCCCTAGATGAGAGTGAGAGAGAAATATAGAGAGGGAGAGAAAGAAAAAGAAAAATAGAAAGAGAGAGAAAAAGAGAAATTTTATTTTAAAAAAAGATATTGTGATATTGTTTGATTCCCACCTTTGCCATAGGAATGATTTTATGAAAAAGTGAAATAAAAATATTTTCAAGAAGATTATATTTGAGATTTTTTTAATTAACTACTAAATATAGAAAACTAAAATTTTTAATTTAAGATCCTGTTAAAAGTAAAAATATTTTACTCCTTAAACGTTCCTGAAAAGTAAAGTTAATAAAATCATAAAAATTAAAAGAATAATTAAACATTGTAGTTATAATTAATATTCTTGTTTTTTTTAACACCATTATTAATTATTGTTGTTTATGAAAATCAAATTCGGTATTAAAATAATTCAATAATTTACGCATATTTCTCTGTAAATTAAATCATAGTCTTTTAATTTACACATATTCAATCAGTTTATTTAAAGTCTTTTAATTTATTTATTTTTCTTTTTAAAATGTTCTAAGTTTTTTTTAATTCATCAATATCAAATTTGGTACTGTTAAGATGATTTACGGCATTACGATACTCAAATATCTTGCTTAACCAATTGAATTAGATTTCTTTGATTTTGTGTAAAATATTCTCCATCTATATTGATATACAAAAATAATAATTTAATTTAGTTTAAATTTAATATTCCATTCAAACTGAATTACAATTTATTTAACTTATATATTTGATTTGAATATTAGAAAAATAAAATAAAATCTTTGACCACAAATACGCGTACGAGCAAAGATCAAGATACTTATATATAATTGTAAATATCTGTTTTTTTATTCGAGATATCTTCATATCAAGAGTCAAGGATTAATCATAATCTCTGGGACTAATAAATTGGTAGTCTAAGTATAATTAAATTTTGATTTTCCTAAAAAAATTGATATTTGAGTATTGTATAAAAAAATTGATTAAAAAAAGGTAACACTAAAAATAATTAGTTAAACTCTTCAATAAAATTAATAAATACTTTACGTTAATAATATTATCACCAAAAGAACTAACCTTTCAAAACATTAAAATTTATTTAAGAACAGCAATTTCTTTTTAATTATCCTATATTTATACTACAAAATTCAAATTCGCCCCGCTTTCGTATTAATGAAAATCATGCACATATGATATTTTATTAGTCATCATATATTTATTTATCATATAATAAATTTTTTGACCCTTAAATTTATTTCTAGTTCTGTCCCTTCTTAACAGATATTTTTTATACATACATACATAATCTGTATAAATTTCGTTTTTCATTGTTAAACAAATGAAAGGCAAGCTAAGGAGATGCAATTTTTTTACACAAATATGAATGAATGAATAAATAAATAAGAAAATGATATTATTATACCTTAATAGAATATTTTGAAAGAAGTAATCCCTCTCACAAGTTGCTCTCTTCTTCAACTATCTTTGTGTTCTTCTTAAGGCGAATCCCCAAAAGATTCCTACCTTTATTTTTCTTTCAAGTTTTCTTTCTATTTCTCTGTTTGCGTTACTTATTTGTAGGTCGCGTTTAATGCAATTGATTTCTTTTTTATTTGTTGCAACTTATTATATAGGAATTAGTGTTTATCATGACAATTTTTACTTTTGCAAAATTTTCATTCACCATATTGATTTCCCCGTTTTAAATACTGAGATCTGATTTATAATTTTTCTATTTTGCTGTTTAGATGTCACATTTGATCGAATAAATTTAATATTTTTTTAAACACGTTATTAATATAAAATATTTATCAACTTTATTAATTATTGATGAATAATTTCAAAATTTTAATTAATTACTTCCATCCACAAATTAAAACCTGAATATGACACTTTGTTTTATGGAATCAAATTCTTTGAATCAATGAATTATTAGTTTTTGTACATGTTGGTATTAATGATTATTTTTCAAATTTTGATAAAATACCAAAAGTAAAAACACAAAAATATAAATAAGATATTATTACATAATTCAAGTACAACATAAAAGGGTTTAACACAAAATGAAATCACAAATTTTTACATTTTAATTAAAAATTTATTTTAATATTTAATGTAAAAAAATCAAAGAATCAATTATGAGGAAAATTAGTTTGAAGTAAAAACAAAAACAAAATCAGACAAGTGTTTAAGAGGACCAAAAGAAAATTATTATTAGGGGAGAAGAAATTTAAAAGGCATTAAATTTTATTATTATTAGGGAATGTGGAGATTTTTTAACTTTTCAAATAATTTATGTTAAAAATGTTAATTTTTTGTATTTGGTGTGAAAGTATTTTAAAATTATTATCAAGAATCTAACTTTTTGGTAATTATTTTTTTAATTGAAAAACTTTGTCACGAAAAGGATGGGAATCCAAGATTTTCATGGAAGGAATTTTTCCCTAATTATTTCTCTCTTTT